GTGTGTGGGCTATCAGAGTGCGGCCCATGTGATATTCTAGACAAGAGTCACTTGACATGTGATACAGTGTGACCTAGCAACAGGTAACAACAGGTAGCAACAGGTAGCAACAGGTAGCAACAGGAAGAAACAGGTAACAACAGGTAACAACAGGTAGCAACAGGTAACAACAGGTAGCAACAGGTAGCAACAGGTAGCAACAGGTAGCAACAGGTAGCAACAGGTAGCAACAGGTAGCAACAGGTAGCAACAGGTAGCAACAGGTAACAACAGGTAGCATACCTGTCACAAGTTGTAATACAGAACAGATGATTTAACTGGGTACAGGTGAGGGAACAATACAGGGAACAGGTGAGGGAACAATACAGGGAACAGGTGAGGGAACAATACAGGGAACAATACAGGGAACAGGTGAGGGAACAATACAGGGAACAGGTAGGGTAACAATACAGGGAACAGGTGAGGGAATAATACAGGGAACAGGCGAGGGAACAATACAGGGAACAGGCGAGGGAACAATACAGGGAACAGGCGAGGGAATAATACAGGGAACAGGCGGGGAACAATACAGGGAACAGATGTGGGAACAATACAGGGAACAGGTAGGGTAACAATACAGGGAACAGGTGAGGGAACAATACAGGGAACAGGTGAGGGAACAATACAGGGAACACCACATATACAAGTCAGGTACGAAGCAAACACTACTAAAACAACATTAGGTGATATAAAGATAAATTTAATACATGAAGTTTATGATACAATGATAAGTTTAATACAAGCAGTTTATGATACAATGATAAGTTTAATACATGAAGTTTATAATACAGTAATACAATAATAAGTTTAATACATAACGTTTATCATACGAGGACAAATTTAACACATGAAGTTTACAGGGATAAATGTAACGCATCAAATGTATGATACAATGATACGTTTAATGCATGACGTTTACAAGTAACAAATGCGATATTTGAGAATCTGACAAAAAGAGAAATTATATTTACAGCGTGGCAGCAGTCACGTTTGAGAGAGCAACATTGGTGGTGGTGTTTTTTCTGGGTTAGAGGGGATACACAACGCTTGCCCGTATGCTGTTTTCCCAAATAGACACGTGCACGAATAGACACTTGCACGAATGCGACAAATGCCCGAATAGACGCTTGCACGAATGCGACAAATGCCCGAATAAACACTTGCACGAATGCGACACATACCAGAATAGACACTTGCACGAATACGACAAATGCCCGAATGCGACAAATGCCTGAATGGACACTTGCCCGAATGGGACAAAAGCTCGAATGCGACAAATGCACGAATGGACACTTGCCCGAATGCGACAAATGCCTGAATGGACACTTGCCCGAATGCGATGCGACAAATGCCTGAATGGACACTTGCCCGAATGCGATGCGACAAATGCCTGAATGGACACTTGCCCGAATGCGATGCGACAAATGCCTGAATGGACACTTGCCCGAATGCGATGCGACAAATGCCTGAATGGACACTTGCCCGAATGGGACAAATGCCTGAAACCCATTAGCCCGAAGGCAGTTAGCCCCACAAAAATTTATGTTATATATTACCAAGCAGACATTTTTAATAAATTTGACATTGCAATAATCAACACAAGTCTAAAAAAATTTTTTTTTTAAATCTCTAATATATAAAGCTCAGTTCTGTAACGTGTGGCAAAAAAAAAGTTTGTCGTTGACACTTCTATGGATTTAAGTGTTAGATTTTTTATCGTACTCATAGTCTAAATTTACGAGTCAAAAAATTACCATTGAAAGTCTTTAAAAACAATTTTCATTCTATTTACTTAGAAGAATAATTTTCAATTATGAACACGACATAAAATTTTTAAAAAGTGTATCGACGTTTATAAAATTTCTAAAATTGTGTCGGAAATGTATTGACTGCACAGTTACTTCCCTTTAATGAAAAATAAATCCTTAAGAAGAGAGAATTAACATTTTATTACTTTGTTTTTGGTGTTAAGAAAAAAAAAATAATTACACAATTAGCGGGGATTGATTAAGTGCAATGTCGTTAGGTATTTTTAACACTGCCTTTTATTTATTCTATACACTGAACATACTGTTCAATAATTATTATTTTTTTTTTAAAATCAATAACATTTAATAAGCCAGGTCCTACAAATCATATACGTTTATTTCTTTCCATTTACGGATAATCTTGGAGTATTATCATTTTTGTTCACTAAATTGAAACAGGCGCGTCCGCCGGCGCCCCTGCACGGTTTGATTTGGCACCCTGGGCTATCATGTGAGCGCTATGCTGCATAATTTTGTTTTAAACAGTGCGATAGACTATGGATAAGAAAGGTTACTATAGTCTTTAAGTGAATCAAATCCGGGCGTCCTCCGGCACCCCGACAGGGTGCTATTTGGCGCCCCGGGCCTTCCGGTGTACGCTATGGTATCTACGTTCGCGTGAGTTCAAAAGACTATAAATAAGTTATGCACTATAGGCGTTTACTAAGTTCAATCAGGCGGTGACGTCATGGTGCGTCCTCTGGCGCCCAGACAGGGTGCTTTTTGGGGTCCCGGGCCTCCCGTGTTCGGTTTCGCGCCTACGTTCATTAAAGTGAGTGCAAAAGACTATGAATAAGTTGGGGTACTATAGTCGTTTATTAAGTTGAAGCAGGCGATTCAGCCCCGTGAGCACTTTGCGTTTATATTCGCGTTAGTGTTTTCTTTGTGTTTAGGTTGGGTTTGCGTTAGTGGTTGCGTTTTGATTTGGTTCGTTTTTGTTCTTTCTTTTTTCGTTTTCGTTTGTGTTTTATTTTCATTGGGTTTGTGTTTGTATTTGTGTTTGAGGTTGGTTTTGCGTTTGGATTTGGTTTGTTTTCGTTTGTTTTTTCTTTTGTGTTTTTTCTTTGGGTTTGTGGTTGGTTTTGCGTTTGGATTTGGTTTGTTTTCGTTTGCTTTTTCGTTTGTGTTTTTTTCTTTGGGTTTGTGTTTGTGGTTGGTTTTGCGTTTGGATTTGGTTTGTTTTCGTTTGCTTTTTTCTTTGTGTTCGTATTGGTGTTTGTGGTTGTGGTTGGTTTGTTGTAAGTTTTTGTTTTCGTTTGTATTTGTAATTGTGTTAGCGTTATGTTTGCGTTTTGTTGTTTTGGTTTTGGTTGGTTGTGGTTTGGGTGGGCAATGCCGGGTTTATGATGATTACTAAACACACAGGTGATGGTCTTTAACAGAAAGGTTTTTCACAGAAGCCAGAGCGGGGCCTGGCCGGGACGGCTAGTATGTTATAATTTTAAAATTTAGCTTTCATTTTGGAAAATTGAGAAATTGCTGTAAAAAATACTCTTTATTCTTAATAAAAATTATAACAAATGCAAATATAATAATACATTAATATTGATTAAAAAAAAAGATAACCAAACGTTTTATGAAAACATCGAAAGTAGTGAACAAGAGGCTGCTGTTTTACAAAACATAAAGGTACAGAATAGACCTACATTTTTGAACATGTAACTTAATACCAAATTTAAATTAACAAATTTTGTGATACACCTCGAAGGTCATCCATTGTAGATCGATTGGTTCGATAATTTTTTTTTTTTTTTTTTTTTTGCTTGATTGTGGTGCGATCTTAACAGGCTTTCAATTTCATTTTGCACACGACACTGTCTTTTTGGAATCTGTCGATGGTTCTCTAAACGGAAGTTTGTCTCATTCGGGCAAGTGTCCATTCGGGCATTTGTCGCATTCGAGCTTTTGTCCCATTCGGGCAAGTGTCCATTCGGGCGTTTGTCGCATTCGGGCTTTTGTCCCATTCGGGCAAGTGTCCATTCGGGCGTTTGTCGCATTCGGGCAAGTGTCCATTCGGGCGTTTGTCGAATTCGTGCAAGTGTCCATTCGGGCATTTGTCGCATTCGGGCTTTTGTCGCGTTCGGGCAAGTGTCCATTCGAGCGTTTGTCGCATTCGGGCAAGTGTCCATTCGTGCATTTGTCGCATTCGAGCTTTTGTCGCATTCGGACAAGTGTCCATTCGTGCATTTGTCGCATTCGGGCAAGTGTCCATTCGGGCATTTGTCGCATTCGAGCTTTTGTCCCATTCGGGCAAGTGTCCATTCGGGCATTTGTCGCATTCGGGCAAGTGTCCATTCGGGCATTTGTCGAATTCGGGCAAGTGTCCATTCGGGCATTTGTCGCATTCGGGCAAGTGTCCATTTGGGCATTTGTCGCATTCGGGCAAGTGTCTATTCGGGCATATGTCGCATTCGAGCAAGTGTCCATTCGGGCCTTTGTCGTATTCGGCCAAGTGTCCATTCGAACGTTAGTCGCATTCGGGCAAGTGTCCATTCGAACGTTAGTCGCATTCGGGCAAGTGTCCATTCGGGCGTTCGTCGCATTCGGGCAAGTGTCCATTCGGGAATTTGTCGCATTCGGGTAAATGTATATTAAGGAAAACGGCATTCGGACAAGCCACCTTCCGGTATGTGTCTTTCAGGCATTTGTCGCAATGGAGTTAGTTTCCATTTGTGAAAATGGCCTTCAGGCAAACGGCTTTCGGGCAAGTGTCTTTAGGGAAAACTTCCGGCTTCCGGTTGTTTTCTGTCATCCTTGTGGCTGTAGGTGGTTTTTTGTTTGGTCTGTGTGGTTTTTAAGTGGTTTTTTAACAGTGGTGCCGTGTTAGCTGATGTTGCGTGTCACTTTATTTTAGAACTACGCGATACTTTGTCTTTTTTTTTTATAGCCCGTTGATAGTTTGTGTGTGTGCTTCTAGCGAGATGGTGGTTTGTGTGTGTGATTCTAGCCAGATTGTGGCTTGTGTGTGTGATTCTAGCCACATGGTGGTTTGTGTGTGTGATTCTAGCCACATGGTGGTTTGTGTGTGTGATTCTAGCCACATGGTGGTTTGTGTGTGTGATTCTAGCCACATGGGGGTTTGTGTGTGTGATTCTAGCCAGTTGGTGGTTTGTGTGTGTGATTCTAGTCAGATGGTGGTTTGTGTGTGTGATTCTAGCCAGTTGGTGGTTTGTGTGTAGCCATGGACAACAGGCCACCGGGCCAGTCTCAACATAGCTGGCCATCGGTATCGCCCCGAGAATTTCAACCAACAGAATCGATACCAACTGTTTACAAATACCCGGATATAGCAGACGGATAAATAACGTTCATTTCCGTGACCATCGCAGCTGAGCCACACTGCGGTATCCATATCGTCATAGTGAATCACTTTGGATCACTACTCCATTAGCCGACAGTAACCATGTAGAGAAGAGTCTTTTAATCGCGTGATGTATAAGAGAAAAATTGACGTCAGCACATCCCAATGTTAGACAAGCCAGATAGAATTACAAAAGCGTTGTCTCCCCTGGTAGTAAGAGTAATTGCCCTTGATTAATCAGAGTTAACCAGATTTATTTTTGCTAATATTTCTGAATCAAGATATTTCAGAAATGTACTTATGCAAGAAATTAAGTTAGAAAAAGTAACGTCAATTGAATCTTAAAGTGATTTCGTCTTTGGTTGTTTGTTTTTTAAAGAGCTCAGGTATTTTAGTCTGAGATTCCATCAGACTTCATCTCCAGGTGCTCTGGTCTGGGGCATCCTGATGAGTGACGTGTCCCTGGTCTCGCTGCGGGGGTGTTTTGATTGGTTGAAGAAACTTTTGATGATAAGGCCGAGGAAGCGACGACTTGTGGCCATGTAGATGAAGACGTTACCCACGTGATGCGACAGGCTGATCTCCTTGACCATCAGCTTGACCGACACGAAGGTGAAGTACGCGCTCCATAGCGGCTGCAAGAAGAGGTAAAGGTGAGGTAGTGGTTAGATGGTGAGGTAATGGATAAATAGTGAGGTAGTGGCTAGATGGTGAGGTAATGGATAAATGGTGAGGTAATGGCTAAATGGTGAGGTAATGGCTAAATGGTGAGGTAATGGATAAATGGTGAGGTAATGGCTAAATGGTGAGGTAGTGGATAAATGGTGAGGTAATGGTTAAATGGTGAGGTAATGGTTAAATGGTGAGGTAGTGGTTAGATGGTGAGGTAATGGCTAAATGGTGAGGTAATGGCTAAATGGTGAGGTAGTGGATAAATGGTGAGGTAATGGTTAAATGGTGATGTAATGGTTAAATGGTGAGGTAGTGGTTAGATGGTGAGGTAATGGATAAATGGTGAGGTAATGGTTAAATGGTGAGGTAGTGGTTAGATGGTGAGGTAGTGGCTTAATGGTGAGGTAATGGCTAAATGATGAGATAATTACTAAATGGTGAGGTAGTGGCTAGATGGTGAGGTATTGGATAAATGGTGAGGTAGTGGATAAATGGTGAGGTAGTGGCTAAATGGTGAGGTAATGGATAAATGGTGAGGTAGTGGCTAGATGGTGAGGTAATGGATAAATAGTGAGGTGATGGATAAATGGTGAGGTAGTGGATAAATGGTGAGGTAGTGGATAAATGGTGAGGTAATGGAAAAATGGTGAGGTAATGGCTAAATGGTGAGGTAATGACTAAATGGTGATGTAATGGCTAAATGGTGATGTAACGGCTAAATAGTTAGGTAATGGCTAAATGGTGAGGTAATGGCTAAATGGTGATGTAACGGCTAAATGGTAAGGTTATGATTAAATGGTAATGTGGAGGCTAAATAATTACGTAATAACTAAATAGTGAGGTAATGGCTAAATGGTGAGGTGATGCCTAAATGATGAGATGATAAGTGAATGGTGAGGTTATGGCTAAATGGCGAGGTAATGGCTAAATAGTGAGGCAATGGTTAAATGGTGAGGTAATGGTTAAATAGTGAGGTAATAGATAAGTGGTGAGGTAATGGCTAAATGATGAGCTTATGCTCGCCTCAAGTATTCCATAGGGCTGTAGGTTTTACACCAATGACTTTAACCACCCACTTAAAACGGTACAGCATTAAAACTTTGCCCAACATCAGCATGACCTATCACGTGATCAGGTGTCAATTAACCAGGAACCACAACAAAAGCCACGTGATATCACATCAAGAACATTACAAGCTACAGGGGTTCCTCGCATTCACAGAATTAAGCAATTTGTTTTAGACATTTTTATTCGTCAGAAATAAAACAGGAATTGAAAGCTGAGTTTATTTGTAATCCGATGTCAAGGCAAATAAAGGCTATGCCAAAAGAAGACATGAATGGGAAGCTAATGTTATTTTAATTCATAAGGGGAGGCTACAATAGCTTTAATGAACGAGGGGCGGTAAAAAATGTTTAATTCCAGACGTAGAGCCAGCTAATTAGGAATCCAGTGTGTGTGTGTGTGTGTGTGTGTGTGTGTGTACTGAAGCCGGTCTAAAAATTCTAAAATCTAAAAATTTAATTTGTAGACTAACCGGCCTTCCTCCATATACAGAGATTCTTTCAGATCTTCCCCGCATCACGGCTATCACCCCCCCCCCCCCCATTCACCGAACGAAATAAAATTTATATACACAATATATACTTTAACCGGTGTCCGCCCCACCCCTCCCGTGAAAGTTAAAGTCTTCCACAGACCCAGGATAAAAATATCTGAAAGAAACTCTGCCCATATATTCTATTGTCTAAAAAAATGTAAAGAATTGCCTTACGTCTTTCCCCATGTCCTCAATCCGGCAGGGCATGGGGCCGTAGGAAATGTTGGCCTGCAGGGCATACAGGATGGTGTTGGGCAGAACGGTGACGATGAGGTAGAAGGACACCCAGAGCAGCGTCACAGTGGTCCCCTTGTTGTTGGCGTGGGCCCCTCCGTTGGTGCAGCTGTTCATCCGCTTGCCGCCGTGGCTGTCGGCGTCCGCTACCAGCGCTGACATGCTGTTGTCAGTCACGTGACGACCGTTACTAGCCTTCCCGAGCTTCAACTTTCCGATGGTCCGGATCTTCAGTAGAACTGCGATATTCAGGAGCAGCACGATCAAAGGGAGAACACCAAACACGGATAACTCCGTACACCAGGTGTAGATAGAGAAAAACGAATCCTTGCTGATTTCCGTCACTCGGACCTGACACTCACCAACATGGATGATTTCCCAGAAGTAACTTTGAGGCAGGCTTAGGATAATGGACAACACGAGCAAGCAGAAGATGGTTCGCGGGGTCCGTGTCTTGCCGAATCGTTCAGACTTGAATGGGTGGCAGACTGACAGGAACCGCTCAACCGTGAAGGCAAAGACCAGGAACACGCAGAAGTATTGAACCGCGATGTTAGCAGTCGAAAATATTTGACACCAGATATCAAAATCCAGCGTCCTTAGTAACCACGGGTTTTCTAGTTCGTAAATAAAATGGAGCACAAGAAAAGTGAGGTCTGCGACAGCGAGGCTGGTGAGGTAGTACGCCGCGGTGTTGCAGGTGCGCATGCGCGGGTTGGACCAGACCATGGCGGAGATGATGTTCCCGAAGATGCCGATGACGATCCAGACGGGTGTGATGCACTTGTTGAGCATCATGGCCACGGGAACGTTGTGGTTGAAGTTGTCGACTAGGAACTTATGCTTGAAGAGCTCAGCCTGAGCCTCAGTGCTGTTGGTCAGGTAGGCGATGTAGCTCGTGTTGTTACACGCCATGGTGCACGTGTTTTGTGTGCTCACTGTTTTATGTGCTCAAACACATTTAAACACCATTTAATGTTTTTTTTTTTTGGTAATTCAAGTAATTGTTGACGTAATGAAGTTGGAGTGATTGGGTTGCAACCAATCACTGCGTTTATACTCATTCGATATTTTTTGAATGAAGAAATTTTTTTAAAAAGCTATGACGTCCGTTTAGGCCGAATCTAATTAGTCTGTAATTTCATGTCAAGCTCTCGGGGAAAAACGTTTTCGTGGAACTAATGTAACTTGATTCGAAGAACTGCTTTAATGTTGCCCTAAATTCGTGGAATCAAAGTCCTGTTGTCCTTTATTTCCTAGAACTAATGTCTTGTTGTCCTTGATTCAAGGACCTAATGTCCTGTTGTCCTCAATTCAAGGAACTAATGTCCTGTTGTCCTCGATTCAAGAAACTAATGTCCTGTTGTCTGTGATTCAAGGAACTAATGTCCTGCTGTCCTTGATTCAAAGAACTAATTTCCTGTTGTCCTTGATTCAAGGAACTAATTTCCTGTTGTCATTGATTCAAGGAACTGACGTGCAATGTCCTATTGTCCTAGCTTGTTCAATTTTTTGACCTGAAATAAAAAGAAAGATGTGGTAACTTACATACAAACATCATACCATCTCATCTACCACTTCTAAGGAACCAATTACCTCATCAACTTTTCTAAAGGATTGCATTGCCAGGACGCCTAGCTCTAGATCAGTGGTTCTTAACCTGGGTTTGGTGAGTCAGTCTCAGGGTTCGGTGAGTCAGTCTCAGGGTTCGGTAAGTCAGTCTCAGGGTTCGGCGGAGGTCAAGACACACACCCGACTCATTTGATTCGCAATCGGATTTAGTCAGTGCTGACAATAGAACTATTAAATTAATTAGAATATCGTGGCTATCAACACAATGTGCTTGAATTTGTATTGTGGCCATTACAAATGGTATGTAATGTGGCCATCACAAATGTTGGTATGTAATGTGGCCATCACAACAGTTGTTGACATGTAATGTGGCCATCAGCAAATGTTGGTATGTAATGTGGCCATCACAATTGTTGTTGACATGTAATGTGGCCATCAGCAAATGTTGGTATGTAATGTGGCCATCAGCAAACAATGATTGATGTAATTAGCCACCCAGGGGCCATGTGCAACAGATTACCAATCAGGAGGGCCGGGGTCCGTGTTAAGGCACAATGGCTTGACGCCAGACTCGCAGGAAATTGATAGAACTCTGATCTTTGTTGAGCAGACGGCTCGTGTGACAATGGGACACGGTGCTTGTGTGTGTGTGTGGGGGGGGGGTGTCAGACGGAGTGTTCGGAGTGTAGTTCAAAGGAATTAAGAGAAAGAAACTAAGTCAAAGATGAACAGGTGAGTTATGAAATGTTATTCTTGTAGCCCGCATCGGCATATAAAGTAGGTCATATTGAGAAGGTCACAGAGAGTAGGTCACAGAGAGTAGGTCACAGAGAGTAGGTCACAGAGAGTAGGTCACAGAGAGTAGGTCACAGAGAGTAGGTCATATAGAGTAGGTCAAATATTGCAAGTCATGAAAGTAGACGACGAAATGTAGACATGGAGAGTGGTGTGTTAGGTCAGAGAAGGGCAGCTAAATTTAGAACAATTAAAATTATTGAAGCTTTTCGTTTCTATTTTAATTTATAACATAACAACTTGAACTGCTATCATTGGAAAAAAGATCACGTCTCAAAATAAAATAAACGAAACAATTAATCCCAAATAACATAGAGAAGCTGTAAAAGTAAGTTTCATGACCTTCGTACATAATTCAACCATAAGCTCTGAAGCAGAGATCCAATTTCATAACACAATTTTCTACCCGGAAGTATCTCCGCCCACCAGATAAGACCGTCGATGACCTTTGAACTCTAACCCGCACCAACTTGGGTTAAAAAAAGTTAAAAAAACATCTTTCTCTGAGGGCATAAAATTACTTTCCGGCACCCGAGTGACGGGGATGACGCCTGGAAGGTCTGGAGTGGAACGATCCTAGCCGCCTGAAATAAAACGTGCCTGTCTGTTAGGTACTTGTAAAATGGTTTTAAATGTTCTGCGGTGAGATGTTCCAGCTAAGCTACCACTGCGATGAGATTTTTTTTAATCGATTTGGAAATTCCTAATACTACAGTGATAGGGAATGTGTGTGTGGTGTGTGGGTGGTGTGTTGGGGTGGGGGTAGTTTTTCTTGCTGTACTAGCACATTGCATTTTCTGTTCAATAACACAATTGAGACGGGTGTTCACATCTAGATATTAGATCAAGGCTACATTTTTATACAGGCTTTTGTTGTACTTGGCTAGGGGAGATAACTTTAGCTAATGTTGAGGCCACACGACTGACGTGAAGCGACACAACTTTTAAATCATGCCTTAGATTTAAAAAGTTTTAGAATTTAAGTTGCCTTTAACCTTACATTTTTAAATATTTACTTAAAATAAAAAGAACGTAAAGATAATTCCAAAAACACTGCAAATAAATTTTTACATCATTTTGTCTATTAAAAATGTAAATAATAAAAACTTTTTATAAACCGTACTATAAAAAATGTATTTAAATGATTAAAAGATTGTTTGAACTAATTAATTTATTTCCAACCATTGTTAAAGTCACGCTGTTTATATTGTAAGAAAATTCCCAAAAAAATTCGTAAAAAAAAAAAAATTAATTCACAACGAAACTAAAAACACTTAAGACTATTATGGTAAAAAAAAATCATGTTTGTATTTCTATATCTCTGGTTATCATCATTTGAATTGTTGATCCTTTTTTTTTAGTAATGTTCACCATTTTGCTCATGTAATGATAATTTTTGTTAATGCTTGAACTATGTTAAATACACACTATGTTAAGCACACACACATTTGTATATGTTGATGTAATGATTTCTATTTGAAAATAAAGATAGTAAAAAAAAAAAAAAAAAAAAAAAAAAAAAAAATTCGTCCATTATAGACAGCTGTTTTTATACGGAACAACCGCTATTTAATTTGTTTATTTTCTACTTTTCAATAATTCATAATTTGTGAATTCTACACTACCTCCGGCCCTTCCCCCCCCCCCCCCCCCGATGAAAGCAGCTGTTCGTGACGACAGCAGTGTTTCTTCCAGACTTTTTTCTCCGGGGGGGGGGGGGGGGGGCACTTGAAATTTTCGGGGGGGGGGGGGGGGGCGGTACACTTTCTTCGGGGGGGGGGGGGGGGCGGACACTGTTAAAAGTATATATTTTCTATATAAATTTCATTTCGTTCGGGGGGATGCCTGGAAGAAACTCTGGACGACAGTTTACAGACGACAATGAAAAGATCAAGCGGAACTTCTTACCTCCCCTTATATTTAAATAGTTTAAAAGCTAAATTATCTGCCTCTAATATCCGTCACTAACTCGACCCGGCTTTACAATTATGAACATTCGGGGTGAGCTATGGTTCACTGGTGGGGGGGGGGGGTAGCGAAATGGACGAGAGAGGGGGCGGGAGGAGCGTTATATAGTCGGCTTGCTTCATCTTTCCCATGAAGAGAATTATGTATTGATTGTTTTTGTATGAATTATGTGTCTCGTGCTTTACGTCTAGCGGTAGAGAGCAGGACTGCTAACCCGTAAGTTCAAGCTAGTAGACCGTCCCTGAGTCCACCCAACTCTGATAGGGAAAGTAAAGGCGGGTGGGCATAGTGCTGACCACACTATCTCTTCATCTGCCGAGGTCACAGAAACAAGTGAATTCTACTTCAATTGCCCCATAGACCATCAGGTTTCAAAGGGAAACCTTTTTACTTTATTCTACATATGATTAATTTTTATATTCTTCTTTAATCCTTTTTCTATTTCAGTTATAAGCCAATACCCCCTATATCCACTCCACCGAAAAAGAAAAATTGCCCTTTTACTATTTTTTGTACTATTTTAATTTTTTTAACAGATAATTGAATCACAATTTAATTTAACATTTGCTTTTTCATGTTTAAAAATAAAATTGTAATTAGACGTTTCGTATTATGTATAAGTAAACCATCTTCAATGAATGAAAGTACAAGTGAGAATGAAGTATTTCTATTGTAAATCGGTAGCAGTCCTCACAAGCGGATGATGAAAAGTGTAGCTCTTCAGCGATTATGGCACGGAAAACTGACGCTGTGAAATTGTAAATAACAATATATACCTGAGGTTAATAACAAAAGGTAAAGCTACACAATTTCTATTAAACAAGTTAGCAAATGACAAAATCTGTTAGATAAATCCGCCTGCTGTCGTTGAAGTTGTTTAATCTGGAAGTGTATCTGTTGAATTACTATCTGTATTCAACTGTTGAATTACTGTCTGTATTCAACTGTTGAATTACTGTCTGTATTCAACTGTTGAATTACTGTCTGTATTCAACTGTTGAATTACTGTCTGTATTCAACTGTTGAATTACTATCTGTATTCAACTGTTGAATTACTGTCTGTATTCAACTGTTGAATTACTGACAAACTTTCCAAGTTTTACATCAGTTTTGTTTGGTGTCTCTGATTCATTGGCCGACATCAACAACATACACTAGTAACATCTTAGTGACATCTTAGTGACATCTTAGTGACATCTTAGTGACATCTTAGTGACATCTTAGTGACATCTTAGTGACATCTTAGTGACATCTTAGTGACATCTTAGTGACATTTTAATGACATCTTAGTGACATCTTAGTGACATCTTAGTGACATTTTAGTAACATTTTAGTGACATTTTAGTGACATTTTAGTGACATTTAGTCACATTTTAGCGACATTTTAGTGACATTTTAGTGACATTTTGGTGACAGTTACGTTAGATTTTGGTAGGGATTTGGATCCATTGACTTGGCAACTAGGTAAACTTGACAAGCCTTGGTTAACTTGAGTTCAACTTTGTTATTAATTAACCTAAGTCAACCTCACTAAACCTTGGTTAACCTCAGCTAACAAAAATTGGTAATCTATCGTTTTG